CGTCTAGGGAGATGCCTCATACAGGGAGGGGGCCCCAAGGGCAACCAGCCAGGGGACCACTTTTTCCTGTGGAAAGAGCGTGGAGCTGCCGGTCAGGAACCCTCAGCTCAACGCCGGCACCTCCTAGCTACAGACTTCAGACAGGTCTCGGCCTCGCTAAACCCAGGTTTCCTCACCTACACAGTGGGGTTGTTGGGTGGGCAAAGGGATTTCTCGTGCAAACAGCATTCTGTTAACCACTAAATCCTGTCTTCACATGTAGGAGATCTTTGTTCTCGCTGTGTATGCTCACATTTACTTGGTCACGTACCACACATCTGGCCAGAATGGAGTACTGTTGTTATTTCCATTATGTTTCTTTTCACTATTACTGCCATTCAGGTAATGTGCCATGGCTTCATCTTGAAGGCAGCAATATAAAGTTTTTTCTAAAAATAAACATACTTACACTTTAAAATATCAGTGAAGAATATTAAGCAAGTTGTCTGGTGGGATTGGCAGCTTTAGCAAACAGCAGGAAGGGACAGGAATGAGGGACCCCAGGAAGTACTGCTCTGGGGACTCACCTTGCCCAGATCCAGCCATTTGGTGGGGGAGGGGGGCAGTGACCAGTGCCGAGGGTGGGATGGAGGGTCTGAAGGACACTGTGACTGGGGAAGGCGAGGGACCTGGGGATTCCAGCCCCACCAGGGTCTGCTCAGTGCAGGACTGGGCACCTGCCACGGGCATTAGTTGGGGTCCAGGCAGGGGGACGGAGGTGATCTTCTCCTCCAGGCCCCTGCCCTGAAGCCTCAGTTGGGGCCACCTGCTTCCTCCTCCTTGTCCCAGGGAAAAACTGATTCTTTATCCTCAGAATCTGACACTTGGGGGCCCAATTTAATTCCTAAGAATTTATATAAGAGGGGAGGCTGGCCCAGAGCCGGCCTCGATAAATGCAGACTGAATGAAGGAGGCCATGGGCAGTATTTCTCCCTCATTCTAGATCACTCTGGAATCACCTACGTTTGGCTAAATGTGCCAGCCCCAATGCCCTAGGAGCTGCCTTGTTTCACATTACCACCACGGCAACGGCCATGCCAACTGCTCCCACCAGTCACAGACCTGTGACCAGAGAGCCAGACTAAGCTAGGAAAATACGCAAACGCCTGTCAGACATCACTCATCTATCTGTGAGTTAGTCTTGCCAGGCAGGAAAAAAGTGGGAAAAAAAAAGAATAGTTAACACATTTGTTTAATTTAATCCAATCAAGTGTAAAAACCCCCTGGGTTGCAGGGAGACAGAAAGGATGCAGTTTGTGAAAGTTGAATCGTAGGTCCCGGGACCAGCCCAGTCAGAGGGCGCGGTGGGCTAGCTGTCAGATGCTCAAGAGAATATATTTTATATTTTAACAGAACATCAAAATAGCTGTCCTCATCTCTGTTCACTGAGATGGAAACTCCACCTGCTCAGGATAAGCTACGTTACTTGCAACAGTACAACTCTCTTCTCCGTGGCAAGGGGCTTTTAAGCCCAGGAAGATTAGAATTTTAAAAAAAGAAAAAGAGGTGATGAAACAAACAAAACCCCAGAGAATTTGTTCCTTTTTTGCTAAGTTTAAGTTGGATCAATTAGTCCTGTATTTTCATGTTGAAGAATTTTGGCCACTAGGGTTTCTCATGTTTGTGATCGAGTAACTGACTTGAGATTTTAAGTTGAAAATCTAAGCGAATTTGATAATGTCTGTAAACAAGAGCAGACTACTTAAGAGAACTTGATAATCACTTTGTTTGTAAGTTAGTTTTTTTACAAGCATTCTTTGAAATCCTTGGGAAAGTTGCGCTTCTTAAAGGTATTTGAAACATTTGTAAGAAATTCATCAAATTTGTAAGTGCAGTTTAGAATATCAAAGGCAGTACCATCCAATATAAACGTAACACGAGCTATACACGTCATTTTAAATTTTCCAGTAGCCACATTTTCAAAAAGTAAAAAGGAGTAGGCAAATTTAATTGTAATAATAACATTTACTTAACCCAACCTATCCAAAATATTATCATTTCAACAGGTAAGTCATATAAAAGTTATTAACGAGATATTTTACGTTCTTTTTTTGAACACATCTTACAATCTGCCGTGTATTTCGCATTCCTAACACATCTCCGTTTGGACGACCACATTCCAAATGGTACATGCTAGTGGCTGCTAGATGGGACATCACAGATCTAAAGGAATTTAATCAGCTACATTTGTAAATGGTATTTATGATTTAAGGAGGCTTATACTGTTCAACCTGACTTGCTGAAAAATTAATCAAAGACCCCTGAGAGCCATTGTTAAACATGACTGGATTTATAAATGAAATGAGATTTGTATATTAAACTTACAAGGTAAGGGGAAAATAGATTTTTTGAACTTTGGTAATTTAAGAAACCTTTTTTTAAAAAAAAAAACAAAACAAAGAGCCATTTCAGTACACAGCAGCGGCCCTTGAGGACCTCACCAACCACAATCCAGATCAAATTCGAGTCAGCGACCTCGGCCCGTGCCCTGGTGGGAATGGCCTGGTTCTTGGTTATAGCATCACAGGCAGAATGTCAGATCTGAGCCAGCCCTTGAGGACTGTCCGCCCAGAGCACCCCATCCCAGTGAAACTGAGGTCCAGAGAGGAGAAGGAACACAGCCAGTAGGTGAAATAGAGGCAGGGCCGTGGCCATCCACTGGTCTCATAATCCCCCCCCCCACCTACCCCAACAACAGTCAGGGGCTTCTAGTTCATTCTCTCTGCCTCTTCATCCCCACTTGACTGATCAGGAACCTGAGGCAGAACTGAAAGATAGGTGGACAATCTGGTCCTGGACCCAGGACCCCGGGGAACAGAGAATTGGGAAGCATGGTTCTTTAGGTCCCCATCCTAGGTCTGGTCATTCAACAGCACAAACTAAGGCCAGCTTGGCCAGAGAAATAGCTGGGTGAGGCCCAGGATGGAGCTGGGACTGCAAATGGAGCAGGAGACGGGAGGCCTGCCGAATACCGAGAGAGCCCAGCCCCGGGAGGCCCAGACCCCGCAGGCCTGTGGTCCCAGGGCACAGCCTGGTCCCTCGAGCCCTCGCGTGAAGGCCTTGGAACTTCCTCATGGGCCGCGTTCTCCCAGTACTCCTTCCTCCCTCTTCCCCACTGTTTTTCTTTCTTTCCTTTTCTTTCTCAAGTTCCCTTCTGCCTGGAGCCTCTTCTGGCCGGCCACATTTCTCAGCACCAGGACATGTGCCACCGGGCACCCTTAGGAGGGTCCAAGGGGGCCGTATTTAATGCTGTTAAATCACATCACAAGGAAACTATCCCCACTCCTAGGGCTTTCGGTTCCTTGAAAAATCAAGAAGAAACTAGCAATTTGGAGGCGGGATGTGTTTTTCACCCCCTCATCTCCCCTTTAACTGAGAAGGCAGGTGAAGCCTTCAGGCTGAGGGCCGTTACATTCTTTTAACTTTTTGCTAACACGTAAGAGAAATTGGTTTTTACCTCCACTTATTTTTAGGACTCCATTTCTCTTTTATTTGTGGCAAATGATGTCAGTTTTCCATTTGCAATCATGACATCAATTTTCCTTTCAAAACTAAACTTGGATCAGTAACACGTGAGTCAAGTGCCTCTCCATGCCGTTTTGAAAACACGAAGTAAGTTACTATCTTGGGAGTGGAGTGAGTCCCGCAGAGACAAGGTAAAGGGTAGGGAACTTGGCCCCAGGGGCACCTCCTCCGCCCAGGCTCGGGTTCCCACCTCCTTTTAGGCACCAGTCAAAGCCACATCCCCAGGTCCGGGGGCCAGCCAGCAGACCTCTCAGACTCAGACTTAGTTCTGAGCTGAGGCTGCGGCCCGGCCCCACGGAGAACAGAGGATGGAGATGCAGAGTGAAGGGCCCCCTTTCTGATTATCTGTCTGTTTCTGCTCAGGAGCAGAAAGTAGCTGAGAGCCATGTGCTCCCGGTAGTGTGACAGATGCAAAGCCTCTCTTCGGGGGTCCCACGCGGGGCCAATGGCACACCTATCCCCACTCCCAGAGCTAAATGGCTTTCCCTGGACCAGTGTGAGGCAGGAGGCTCGAAGCATGTGCCTCTCGATAGAGGCGGCGAGAAGAGGACCCCCGTAGCTCCCTGAATGCTCCCAGTCCTCCTGGTGAGCTCAGTGCCCCTCCCAATAGGGCTTTCCTCGGTCTCCCTCACAACAAACTGAAAGCACTTGGCGTCTCCACTGCCAGGTGGACCCAGACTCTCCAGCCCAGAATTCTCTTTCCACACCGGTCTTTCTAGCCCCCAGACATGAGGGCCCAGAGCAGCAAGATCTCCTGCCCAGACCCCACCACCTGGACCCCGCAATCTGCAGGAACCCACAAGCATCTGGCGAGCACAGCTCCAGACCGCCCGGCACCCTGATGGGCCCTGGTACCCAGGGGCGGCTCAGGATCAGGGAGACTCTATCTGGTCCTCAAAAACCTTTCTGTTCATTTGTGCCCTAAACTTCCTCAGCTGACTAGGCCGGAGCCACCAGCGGCCAGCTGTCTGCAACTTCCCTTGGGAGTTCGGTTTCAGTTCGGCTCTGCCATGAGTGGTATAAGCCTGGTGAACCCACAGCCTCAACTCTGGGGTTGAAAACACAATCATCAGTGGTCCTACCTCTCTGCCAGGCCAACTTCCTGACAGTCGGCCAGAAATAGCAATGGGGTGGGGGGTGGTTCCTGAGCCTGTGGGTGGAAGGCATCTCAGACCCTGGAAACCCATTGGTAAGACACCCCGCAGACTGCCCGCGTTGTCTGACCCTCTGGAGTCCTCTTAGCACCATCCAGGCACAGCTTCAGCCCCTTGCGGTGGTTCCTATACCCTCTCTGGGCCCCGACTGCTGTTGGCCCAGCGGGGACCACTTTGGGACCAGAGTACGGTCTTGGCTAAAAGGCTCCGGAAAGGTGAGCCTGAGAGAACCACCAGAAATGGGGCCAAGAAGGCAGATCCCAGGAGATGCGGAGGGGGTACCTGAGAGGGCTGCCGTCAGCCATCCAGCGACCAAGAAGAGGAGCCTCATGTCTGGTGCCATCTCTGACCGCTATGTGTGCCTGCCAGTGGGAGGCACCATCCTAGGGCCAGCAGGTGGACAGGCGGCCCAGTGCCCCTTGGCCCGCTCTGCCCTCGACTGCTCCTGTTTGTCTCTCTTTCTCTGCCGGAGAGAGTTCTCCTTTGCACGCATGCGGCCAAACCCAGCCTGTGAGTGTCTCACGCCTCTGTGCTCTGCTTGTGGTTTCAGTTTCCAGGAAGCCAGGCTGGTAATACAGCTGAGGAGAGCCCAGCTGCCTCTGCGGTGGGCCCACCGAGCCTGGCTGGACCCCTGGAATCACAGAGTGAGACACACACACACACACACACACACAGGAGCCCAAGGGTGTCCACAGAAGAGGGAAGCGGAGGGGCATGCCTCATTTCTGGAGACCTGGTACACAATAAATGGATGCTCAGTCAATATGGGAAGAGTGAATGAGTGACCCATTTCTGTCCTAGTCCATGGAATCTGGCTCTTATAGGATGGAATCCCAAGGTTTCCCTCATTCACAGGTGCTAGGATGGCTGGGAAGAAGGAGGGCGGGGTCTTGTAGATTCTAGAGGAAAAGCGTCCTCCTCCCCGTAGGGAAACGTAAATCGAGAAGGCCCTGAGAGACGGTTTGTCCCCCACCTCCTACTTCAGTCTGGAGCCATCCCTAGAGATGACACAGATGCTCCAGTCCCCCCACTGTGGGATCCTGGGCTGGGTTCATTCCTCTGTGGGAGGCAGGCACAGGAGCCGGGCCCAGAAGGATGAGCAGGATTTCAACAGACAGCCATGAGGGGAGGCCACAGGGCCAGAAGACGCAGCAGGAACAAAGGGCAGAGGCTTCGCAGGGGCAGAGGCAGGTAGCCCAGGGCTGTTTGAGAAACTGAGTGGTCTGGTTGAGCTGCAGTGGATACTGGGAAGGAGGCAGGGACCAAGTGTGTTGCACTCACCACTGTGCCCCCTGTCGGGCACAGCAGGTGCTAAATAATTGTTGTTGAGTGAATGAAGGAACAGATAATTTGATTGGGTTGTCCAAGTGGAACCCTTGAAGAAGCTGAGTCCAAAGAAGATTGGGTCCATCCCGGTCTGTCCCCTTATGACCTCATCTCAGATTCACCTGGCCTGGCTGGACACTTCCCTCATCCTTACTTGTCATCATCTCCCCACCTGTGGAATGGGGAGGGGACATCTGAAACTGAAGATTCCACAGGGACTCCCTGCCCGCCCCAACCCTGCCCAGCCCAGCCAGGTGGACCGACCTCTGGCACCAGCTGAGGCTGCCCTCTTGTGGAAGGTTCTGGTAGCACAGGCAGCAGATGGGGGTGCTTCTAGTTTCCATTTTCAGTTCCGTTCAACTGACAGAGAGACCTCCATGTGGGGAACTCTGGATGAAGAGGGAAAGCACATCCCTGCCCTCAAGGAACAGGTGGTTCACAAACTCAGGTGATCAACCGCAGGCCAGAGTAAGAGGAACACAAGGGGAAATCTGTGGACGAGCAGCGCCCCGGGAGACACACATTTGATGGAACAAGAGAGATGGCTAGACTTCCGTTTCCGGTGATACAGGAGACAGCAAGTTCTGAAAAGTTCTCCTGAAGCAACCCCCCCCCACCAAAAGCTGGATCAAAATATTTTAAAACACCTTTAGAAATGCCTAGTGGAGGTGGCAAGAAGTTAAGGCTAATTATCAGAGGCCAAAAATGACAAGAAAGCACAAATCCAAAGGGACCATTGAGAATGGAAGCAGAGGTTGCCCTGCGGTACCTGCTGATCCCAGGTGGCCAAGAACTTCAGCTGAGTAGGACAAAACCTAGAGCTGGAGCAACGTGACCAGCAGAATCAGGAACCTTCCATCTAATGCTAAGTAATGAAAAACAGCACCCTCAGTGGATGACCTAGGACAGAAAAACTTGTGCAGGGGGAGCTGATGCAGAACTTGCTAGGCTCAGCCTGGACTCTGAGTGGAAGAAAAAGGAGCATCAGCCCTGAATTCTCCTAACCACCTGTCCACCCCTAAATGGGCCTGGAGGTGGCATTCACAGCCCTTATGTGGCCACAACACAATAAACATAAACTAACAAATTTAAAGAAAAGTAGATGGTAGTTCCTTAGGCACTTGACAGAAACAAATGGGACAATCCTCTCTGGAGTAACTCACCTTAAACTGAGGCCTTAAAGAATCCCCACAGAACAGGTTCCCAGAAACATGAGTTCACATGAAAAAAAAAATCAGCATGGAGGGTATACAGCTCAGTGGCAGAGTGCTTGTTTGGCACGCATGAGGTCCTAGGTCCAATCCCTAGTACCTCTGTTCAGGGAAAAAAATTATAAAATGCAAGACACAAGCGTATTAGTTAAGGTTCTTCAGAGAAACAGAACTAGTTATATATACGTGTGTAGCAGGGCACAGTATCTTGCACCACTGCCTAGACTTGCTACAGAAGCTTCTCTTGTTCTGAGCCCCACTCAGAATGGGCAGCCCCGCCAAACTACATGATATGTAGTCCTAACAAAGATGCATGCACCCACAGTGTTCATAGCAGCACTGTATACAATAGCCAAGACATGGAAGCAACCTAAGTGTCCATCAACAGATGACTGGATAAAGAAGTTGTAGTGTATTTATACAATGGAATACTAATCAGCCATAAGAAAAGAATAAAATAATATCATTTGCAGCAACATGGATAGATCTGGAGACCATCATTCTAAGTGGAGTAAGCCAGGAGGAAAAAGAAAATTACCATATGATATCACTCATATGTGGAATCTAAAAAAAAGGAAAAAGAAGACACTAATGAGCTCATCTACAAAACAGAAACAGACTTGCAGAACTAGTAAACAGTCTTTTGGTTACCAGGGAGAGGGTGGGAAGGGATAGATTTGGGAGTTAGAGATTTGCAGATATCAACTACCATATATAAAAATAGATTAAAAAAACAGATTTCTTCTGTATAGCACAGGGAACTGTATTCAATATCATGTAATAACCTTTAGTGAAAAAGAATATGAAAACGAATATATGTATGTATGTTTGACAGAAACATTATGCTTTATACCAGAAATTAACATATTATAACTGACCAGACTTCAATTAAAAAAAAAAAAGAACAGAATCCCCAAAGGTGATATGTGTTCCAAAATCCAAAGAGGCCCACCATGTACTGTGCTATTCTGAGTGGTAGGGGATGCAAGGTGAAAATCTTGTTCTTGACCCTGGGGGCAATGTGCCCTGACCTTCGGATTCCCCAAATCTTCCTCACTATGGCAGTCACCTAAATCTTTGTGGGATTCATCTCCCATCTTTCAGCACAGACAGGACAGCAGCTCTCAATCTTTCTGGTTTCGAGACCTCTTGATTTTCTTGAAAATTATCAAGGACCTCAAAGAACTTTTTGTTTATGTGGCTTATATCTATCTATATTTACCATATTAGGAATTAAATAGAGAAAGTTAAAATATTTATGTAATTCATTCAAAAAACAGCAACAATAAATTCATTACACGTCAACCTAATACTTTGTATGAAAAATTAATATCTATTTCAAACAAAAAAATTACTGGGAAGAGTAGCATTGTATATATTACACGTTTACAAATCTCTCTACTTTATAGAAGGCATTTGGATTCTCATATCTGCTTCTTCATTCAATCTGCTGAGTTATGTTTTTTTGATTGAAGTACATGGGAAAACATCTGGCTTCATGATATGCAGCTGGAAAAAGAAGGACTATTTTGATAGCTTTTTAGGTAATTTTAGATAGTCTTCTCTGATACTACTGCAGAACTTGACATGTGATGGTTTCTAAAGGTTAGATGTAATATGGAATCTGAAATCGTATCAGTGGATTTGAATGTACTGTTAAATTAAAATCCATTGGTCTGTCTTGCACTTTGAATAGATCTTTCATCCATGCATGATTTTGCAATAACATGCATCAGTCATTCTGGAACATACTGGTTCACAGAGTTATATAGATCTTCCAAATGCTGACATATTTCATTAGATAGCATCAAAAAAAAAATCCCATTCATTACTCTCCTCTCCAATCCCATTTAAGTACTGGGAGGCTGTCAAGGTCATGGTGCAATTACAAGTCTTCTAAAATTCCTTCTTACTCTAATGCTTCAGGGTTTCATCACTGGCAACAAATACTGTCAGGTTCACTTCATTAATTTTCAAAACATTGTCTGCACAAATGCTTAAGTCTGAATCATCATCATTTCAAGTTAAGATGGTGTTCTGTATTTAAAAAAAATCAAACAAGCAAACAGACATGTAGTTCGACTGGCAGATCAAACGACAGCAGAATCTCTCTTCCTGGAAGCAAGCACTGCCCTGCAATATCCAACAAGGCGCTTTATGCCTACGTCTCATTCTGTCACATAGAATGTTCCAAATTGGTGTACACAAGAATTGTGATTTAATAACATTAATCATTTTAACTGCTTCATTGAGGATATTCTTACGTAAAACTAGCAAAATTTTTTTTTTCTGTTTTTCACTCTGAGTGCATGGGGGTGAAGAATTCAATGGCTCCTAGCAGAATTTAATGCCCCAGCTTTGATTCATGCTATGGCCCTCAGTTTTACCCATCATTGCATTTGTACCAGACAAGATAGGTCAGTAGAAAGGCAAGTTATGTCTTAATACATTTTATGAAAATAAAAGTGTTTTGTCCTCAGAAATTCCTAAAAGGGTCTCAGGAACCCATTAGGGTTCCACGGACCTCACTTTGAGAACTGCTGGCTCTGCAGGAGTGGAGGTTTGACAGCAGGGACACGCTGCCCCATTGTCTGCCGTCTCCCACAGGCAGGACTTCCCCGCCTTTCCTGCTCCTAATCAGTTTACAGGGAACCTTTAAATGTGGTATCCCTTCGAAGACTGCACCTCTTGGGGAGTGATGGAAGTGTTAGCGATCTTGACTGTGGTGGTGGTGTCACTGGTGTGTACATCTATCAAAATTCATCAAATTGTACGTTTGAAATATGTGCTGTTTACTCTACAGGAACCATACCACAATAAAGGCGTTAAAAACAACAACAACAACAATAAAAACGTTTAAAATAAAAATAAAAGGCTTCACCGATCTTTATTCCCCCTTCTAAAAAAAATGTGGTACCCCCGAACTCAGTGTCTCATATTGGGCCTGATCAGCCTAGAGTCAGGCAGAGTGATAACCTCAGAACCAAATT